GATCACTTTGATCCAAAAAACCTGGATTAAACTGATCCCATCAGAAGGGTGGATTTAGCGTGGATTTCATGCCTAAAATGTAATGAAAACTTAAAAAATGTATTAAATAATACTATTTTTGGATCATGCAGTATCTTACGATATATACTATTTATTCATAAGGTTTTCATTTTATTTGTTCATCCGTCAGGCTATAGTGATTATTGGCTTTAATGTATTTAGCCTTTCAGTATAGGCCTCCAGCAACATAGAAAGAGTTTGGCCTCATAAAATAATCCCCCAAACAGCTGTGAAAATTGACCAAAAACAATCAATTTTATTTTGTCTCTAATTGATATATATATTCATCACAATGAAAAATATTTTTCTTTTTAGAATATTTATTAGTGATGCATGCAATGATTACAGAATAACAAAAAAATGCAAAGAATGGCAATGACTGATTTTTGAAATCTCTTTCAACAATTGCAAAAAGAGACTGAAAGGGCAGAAGCACAGCTTCGTCTGGCGGGGGAACAACTGACTCTGACCTAACTGCAGCAAACCAAGGCCAAGGACTTGAGATTCGCCTCCTAAAGGCTACGCTCAGACAAGCTGCTCTCTCCACATCAGATGAGGAAGTCTGAGATTATTGTGGAGTTTTTGACATTAAGTCTTTTTTTTATTTACATCTATATTTGAAACTTATTATAAATATCCTCAATGTACAGTGTTTTAGGTCTCAGATGAGCGGACTGCTGGAAGAGGATGCGGTGTTGTTTTTCTTGTTTTTATTATTTATTATTATTATTAATTTAATATTTATTAAGTTTTCATTTAAAAAAAATAAAGTTATGTTGACCCCACGCTGGCTATTCTACTTGTCGCTCTTTACATATCTATAGTTCTACATTGTGATTTCTTATCCTGTTTGAGCACTGGTAATCCAGATTTAGTGATCCTGAAAAGTTCCTATCCGGATCAGTTTGATCCATTTCGATGTTGCTCTGAAAAACTGGCTCAAAATGTAAGTTGGATTACGTGATCACGGATCGCAAAAACAGAATTACTAAATCTGGATAAATTTGATGCGGATTAAACCTTTTGAAAAAACGGGCCCAGGGCCTGGTTTTTTAAAAGTAATCCACTAGGATTTTGGATAAGGGATTGGATCAAATCTTGAAAATGGGTTTTTTTAAAAGAAAAAACGAATTACATAATCGGATTAGATCACGTAATCTAATCTTGGTTTTGATCCAGATCAAACCTTTAGTTTGGGTTTTTCAGATCTTTTTTGTAGGATCTGGATCATTTTGATCCAAAAAATCTGGATAGTGATTTCCTATCCTGTTTGAGCACTGGTTATGCAGATTTAGTGATCCTGAAAAGTTCCTATCCGGATCAGATTGATCCAATTCGATGTTGCTTTGAAAAACTGGCTCAAAAAGTAAGCTTGATTACCTGATCACGGATCGCAAAAACAGAATTACTAAATCTGGATCAATTTGATCCGGATTAAACCTTTTGAAAAACCGGGCCCAGCAGCTGACCGTTACAGATACAGCATGCAGCACCGAGGACCGTCTATCTCTACAGCTTCAGACAGGGTTTTATGACAACCTTTGTAAATGTTTGCAATTAGGAATCTTTCTGCAGAAGACATGTCAGTGTTTATTTTTACGTAAAATGTTATTTTATGAAACATTTAATGTTGAGTGTTTATATGCATATTTTTATATATAATAAATGAATACACATTTAAATACATATGTTTGTGTGTTTTTGTTTCTATGCTGAAGCACCGCAGTAAAAATTATCTTAGGGTCTCCTTTTGACCAGCAGCAACTCTGGTTAGTGGGTTCCCACTTAGGAAGAGGTCAAATTTCATTTTTACTGTTGATCATCAGTTGGCACCATTAAATCCTTTACATTGCCCCGTGCAAAAGCGTGTCTGACTTTTATATGGAGTTCTGTGGAGTAAAACTGCAATTTATAGAGTGCATGCATAAGTACACTTACTATGTTTACTATGTTCTGACAGCTGAGGTGCCTATTTTGTATTTTCTCCTACACATCAATATATGTGTGTAAAAGTCTCTCTTACAACCTCACACACTCACTAAACACCAAATAAAAGCAAGAAATCAAGCTTTTTTGAACTGTAACTGATGATCACCAGTAAAAATCACAAATCTTACCTCTTCCCAACAGGAAAAACCACCAACAATCAAGAATGCATGATTATACGCTGTCATGACGTTGCATTTAAAAATAATGGAAATCACTTGGGCAAAAACAGCCATGAACACAATGAAAGGGTGGTAAATTTGCTCAGAGTGTATTGTTGAGTTTTTAAAAAATTCAAAAAGTATTTTCCCAAAATATGTGTCAACAAGACTTGTCACCAAAAATCATCCCATTTGCTGAACCACAGAGAAAGTTGTTGGTAAATTAAGCCTCAAAATCAGCCCAGAGTGGACCAAAACTTCACCAACAGCACAGAAGGGTTAAACACCCCCAAATCCTTGATGGCATGGTTCTAAGAGGCAGTGCTCACTTCTGGACAGAGGGGCAAGTGTACCAAGTAGCAAGTGGAGATGTTTTGAACCTTCAGCTGACAGCCAGTGTAAGTGGAGAGGTAAGAGAGGTGTGACGTGGGCTCTCTTGGGATCATTGAAGACCAGATGAGCTGCAACATTTTGTTTGGCCAGGATTGATTAGATGAGCATGTCATCGGTGTAAACCAGAGATGCCCAAACTAGGGCCCGTGGGCCAAAGTGGATCCACTGTAACCTTTGATTTGGCCCTCCATCCCATCTGAGAAGAGAGGGAGAATGATGGGGAGTTTTGGGGGAAAGTCTTTAACAGAGATTGTCATTTCTAATACAACATAACTTTTGTTTTTTTAACTGTTGAGATACACAAATAAACAAACTGAAATTAAACGTTTCAATGAAATGTTGTGAATGAATCAAATAAAATAATAGTCACTTGAAGGAGAGCAAACATTACAGAAGACATCAGCAAGCGAAGGCAAAGTGTATTTTAAGCGTTATAGATGGGATTGTTCATGTTTTATTGTAAGACTTTCATTCATTATAAAATGTATAATTATTAATACAATTAAAGAATTTGAAATGTTGTAAATTACAGTATTCAGTGAATCATGTAAATTATATAATGAATAATAATAATAAATTTGGAAATTACATTGACAATTTTACAGTTTGGTAGATTTACCTCCAGCCCACCACCCTCAGACGAGTTTAGTTTTTGGCCTTTCATAAGAAAAAGTTTCCCTGAAGCACCTCTGAAATAAACTTTAACTAAAAGTTTTAGATTGTGAGCAGGACAGCACACTGGTTCTCCCGCAGCATGTTTGTTCATCATTTCTATCTTAATGTGTTGATCATTTTCTTTTGTGTTTCTGTATTGTGTGAAGGTCAACCAGTCCACAGTTTATGCTGCTATAATCTTTATTCAGTTTTATTCATAAACTATGTACAATATATACACTGTGCTCACGTCGGCTCCAGGTCTCTTGGGTGAAGGTCTCTCAGTGACGTGGTCTCTTCTGGTCTCCGTGCGTCTCTGGTGAAGATGGGGAACGGGAACGTTTCCCTCTGGCGTCCTGGACTGAAGATGCTGCACCAGCTGAGGAAGAGGAGGGCAGCGGCTTGGTCTGGCAGGAGAAGGACGGCCTCTTTTTCTTCTCAGCAGCATAGGCCTCACTGAACAGATCGAGTGCAAACACACACAAGCAGACATAATGTGAGATTTTCACAAACAATAGAACATGCTGCAATGCCAAGTACAGTTTACTCACGCGTCTATGATGGGAATGACGTATTTGCCGCTGCCGTCCATCATGACTCCCTTTCGGTTTGGGTCGTCCACCTCCAACAGGAAGCTGCGGGGAATCCCTGTGCTCCTCCTGATGCGCTTGTGCGGAGCAGAGCTGCTGCCCTGTGAATTCATGAGTGACAGTCAAACGACAGAGCAAACAATCTGACTGATGGAGACAAGAGCTCATGTTCACAGCAACCATAAGCTTAGAAAACCCAGTTACCCCTTTAGAGGGGCAGTGCCTAATGTGGTGTCCTGGGATCCCACATTGAAAGCAGACATAGTTGGGTGGAAGAAGCCCAAGCAGTGTCATGGCCTCACTGATGAACATCAGAACCATGAGAATCAGCTCTAACATTTCTCACAAACCAAACCTGTCAGTGTCTGAACGCTCACCTGCTGGAGTAGTAGCACAGACTGGACTGGTACATCACCGCTTTTAGCTTGTCCTCCTCTGATGCCTTTGCCTCAGCCAAATTCTCAGTCTGTTTCACAGGCATTTGCACATTAGAATTTTATTTTACTGGTCTGTCTAAGAAGCTGTGTGTGTGTGTGTGTGTGTGTGGGGGGGGGGGGGGGGTTTACACTGTGTATTGATATTCTGCACTACATGTCATTATGACGCCTCAAATGCAAACACTGCAGTTCAATACAGAGCAGCACAGTGGGGTGAATTAATCATTTGTTCAATACCTTCAACAGCTGCTCCAGTGAGAGGAGTGAAGAATCACATGTTTGAGAAGATTTAGCTGATGGTCCAGCTTGATGGCTGCAAAACAAAGGAGCTTGTGTGACTAAAACACCACAGACAAAAACTCAAAATCTTGATATAACATCTATCAGTGGACGATTGCGCTCATTTCACATGACTTACCCAACAAATCTTCTGTTGGAGGACTTCAGTCCAGCCGCAGGGACCCGTCTGATGATGACAGATGTGTTTTTGGGGATGAGAGCATCATCATCTGTGTATTCTGACAGCAAAATAAAGTTTGAATATAGTAATAATCATTTACCATGGTATACTTTGAGTTCCATTAGCATTTTAAAACACTCAGAACATCACTATATGTCACCATCAGAGTCATGATAACACATGTCAGCTTCTACAAGTCTGTCTGATAACACATCTAATGTTAGTGTAGTATAGTTTAAGTGGCTTTTCCTCATCTCACCTTCATCAGTTTGGGCTTTGCTGATCTTCAGCTGGCAGAACTTCAGCCTCTCGCGCCTCATGATCTGCCGCTTCAGCTCTCCCGCAGTGATGTTGAGGCCCTCAAACTGGAGCGAGTCGTAGGTGAGTCGACTCTGAAACCTGTAATGAACACAAGACATACTGAATACAAACCACAGTGTGATAACAAGATTCAAACCTGAATGATGGGAGAAGCAGACGATCAATCGATGTATCCAACAATCAATAATATCAATAATCTGGGAATCTGTTGCCAGGAAGGACGCCGAGATCAGATGCCAATGACAGAGCGAAGTTCAAAACAACACAAAAAGAACCGTTGCCATGGATGTTGACGATCACGTGACGAGGCGCTGAAAAACTTCCGCGTTATTTTCTCATAAATAATAGTGAAATCATTACTATGATAATAATAAAATAAACAGCTGAACAGTTGGACCTCTCTGAATAAAACACAGCTGCGTTTCCGTACACGAATGATTCTGGCCTTTGTAAAGAGTCGGGCGAGTCAATGAATCAGTGATTCGTGGCTGAATGAATCACTCAAAGCTTCACTCGATTAAAGCGGTCTCTTGCTGCCACCTATTGGCGATTTGTTTTTTCGTTTTTAAAGTAATTTAACACTTTTTTTAAAGGCACCTTCAAATTTATTTTCTACAAAAGTTTATTTCCGTGTGTTAAAAATGATTTAAAACTCTCTAATCTCATCATTTCCTGATGCGTTTATAATGTAAATCCCTTCATGTTTGCCTTTGATCTTCATTACGTGTTAAAATCAATAAAATATTAAAGTTGCCTCATCCAAATCCAAAGTTTAGTTCAAAGCTTTATTATACAGCAATGTGTGTGTGTGTGTGTGTGTGTGCGTGTGTGTGCGTGTGTGTGTGTGTGTGTGTGTGTGTGTGTGTGTGTGTGTGTGTGTGTGTGTGTGTGTGTGTGTGTGTGTGTGTGTGATTGTGGCAGTGGATTACAGTGAATGTAGAAGTGATCAGAAGTGTGTGATATTTATTGTTTCTGATAATCAAAAGAACATTTTAAGAGTCCAAAAGATTTACTGCCTGATGAAGCCTGTTATAATGCAATTATGATGACCCTATAAATCTAGAATGGTCAGAACAATAAAAAATTAGGGAAAGAGATTAATTAGTATTTCTCCTCTTTTTTTTGTATGTGTAAGTGCTCCTGGAAGAAAAGTCTGCGTCTCTCTGTGTCACTCAGGCTGCACTGCAGTGTCTATTCTCAGGTGTGATCCCACTACTGATCAGCACGGGGGATTTGACCTGCTCCGTCGCCGACCTGGGCCGGTTCACCCCTCATTACACAACCTGGTGGTCCCAAGCTCCCCCAGGAGCACCATATCGATACCGAACTTAGTGTGGACACCTGATCAACATAATCACACTGCAGTCCAGAAGCCCTGAGCTCAAGCGATCCGCAGCCTCAGCCTCCCAGTAGCTTGGATTACAGGCGCGCGCCACTGAACCCGGCGAAAGCTGCGAGAATCAGAGCTGTGGAGAATCTGATCATCACAGCGACCTCTAGTGGAGGAAATGATGAATGATGAAGTAAAGTTGACTTTTTATTGGTCTTATGGCACTGTTTGGATAAAAATAAACAGCAGTACGGTCCCAAATAAAATATAGTTATTTAAACTAAATACTATAGTATTTTAGAACCACGTAGTAAAGTTTATTGTACTGAATAGTTAATCACAATGTTGTGCTATTTAAAGGCAACTGTGGTGCAGAGTCGGGTTGGAAGAAACTCCAAGCATTTCTGTTTTCGCAAGGTTAAGCTGAAGATGATGATCTTTCATCCAGTGTGAAATGTCCGACAGGCAGGCTGAGATGCGAGCTGGAACCGAGGGATCATCAGGGTGAAAAGAGAGGTAGTTGGGTATCATCAGCATAGCAGTGGTAGGAGAATCCATGTTTCTGAATGACTGGTCCTAGAGATGTCGTGTAGATGGAGAAGAGAAGTGGCCCAAGAACAGAGCCTTGAGGTACCCCAGTGTTTAGATGCTGTAGGTTGGACACCTTTCCCCTCCAAGACACACTGAATGACCTGTCAGAGAGGTAAGATCTGAACCATTGAATAACAGTGCCTGCAAACCCCAGTGACTCATATATATTATATATTTAATGATTAATACATATAGAAACAATATTTTCATAACTAAATTATTTATGATTTGCCGTTTAACAGCGAAACATCTCGTCAAATAGGCCACAGTTCATCAGGAAATGAAAAGCTTTTAAATGACAACAGAAAAGCAGTTCAGCGACTAACATTCACTCATTCAGTGAGTATCTCATTCATTCATTCATTCATTCACTAATTGAATCAACACTTTTTCAGTCACTAAATATGGTGTCAGATGCAGATGTGGCCTCTAGTGTAATCCACAGTTCATATATTGCACAATGACGCTAAAGGCCACCATATTATAAAATACTGCAGGTTGTTGGTTGCAGATTAATAATCACAAACATAATTTTTTAATCATAAAACAGCTAAAACATATTTAGTGTTAGAGAGGACAAAGTGGTTTTAGTTTACCTTTTATCTTTAATATTAAACAGCTTTTTAGTCTTTAGACAGATTAAATAACTTGTGGTACTTGTATAAACAATGTTCAGCTCAGGATCAGTAATTCAGCATGATGTGCTGCTAAAGCTGAAACAGTCTATCAATTTATGCCACAGATTGTGTGAGATTCTGTCGAGTCTTATGTTAAAAACACTGATGGAGGTCAAAACCGCATCTGACACCACAGTTAGTAGATGAGTAAGAGTAAACTGAATAATAAATATGTAACTCAGTTAATGATAGTTATTCACTGCATGAATGAATGTTAGATGAGGAACTGGTATTTAAGTGGAAAATTAAAACATTAAAGCTTTACTTTTTCAGAGATTCACTGTTTGCACAATCTTAAATGGATAGTTCACCACATAAATATGATTGTGACGATTATGAATTAACATTTTTGGGTCAATTATCCCTTAGCTCACATAAATTATCCCAGAGCATTATTTCAGCATCAATGATCATTCACAATAGTCACATCACAAGAAATACAAGGTTGAGTCTGGATTATAATTTAGCGTTTGCGTGTGTTTCTGAGGCCTGCGACTGTAAAAGCTTTAGGTCTAATAAATTGCATAATTTGTCATTTTAATTGCAAATCATTTTATTTAATAAAAAAATGAAGACAATAGCAGTATTATTGTACATTTGATTATTACATTACTGTACCTGAATACTGTTAGACTCGTTGAAAAACAACAAAGCTCTGTTCATTTTATTTCAGAATTTTATATTGTATTTATCTCTGCTCGTAGATTGTTTGTAATGTTTTATGCAGATGCACACCTAATATAAACAAATCACCCATTCTGTAATATGTTTTCTACAGCTATATGTATTATGATACAATAAACCACTTTTACTGTAAAAAAACTAAAGTATACTACAGTATTTATTACAATTTATCACTTGATACAGAAAACAGAATGTTGTGGCACTCATAAAATGAGTTGTAAAGGCTAATAAATATGGTATAATAATCTTTAGTTCAAAAATATTATGTTGATACTAATTACTGTAATTTTTTTATTTGTGATCATACTGCTGTTTATTATTATCTAATGTCATAAGGCTATGAAGTCAGTTATTATTCATCATTCATCATTCAGTTTTCCTCCACTAGAGGTCGCTGTGATGATCAGATTCTCCACAGCTCTGATTCTCTCAGCTCTCGCCGGGTTCAGTGGCGCGCGCCTGTAATCCAAGCTGCTGGGAGGCTGAGGCTGCGGATCGCTTGAGCTCAGGGCTTCTGGGCTGCAGTGGACTATGTTGATCGGGTGTCCGCGCTAAGTTCGGTATCGATATGGTTCTCCTGGGGGAGCTCGGGACCACCAGGTCGTTTAAGGAGGGGTGAACCGGCCCAGGTCGGAGACGGAGCAGGTCAAATCCCCCGTGCTGATCAGTAGTGGGATCGCGCCTGTGAATAGACACTGCAGTGCAGCCTGAGCGACACAGAGAGACGCAGACTTTTACACTAGTTGTTTTTACTCTGATATATCTTTCTAACAGTAAAAAAGAAGTAATAAAGGTTTTGAGATGAATGACATGGCTGTGTGTTATAATTAGAAATAACTAAAAGTTTAGTTTTTTCGAGTGATGGGTTGCAGCTGGAAGGGCATCTGCTAAAAACGTGCTGGATAAGTTGGGGGGTTCATTCCGCTGTGGTGAACCAACGGGACTAAGCTGAAAAGAAAATAAATGAATGAATAAAAGTTTATTTGTAGATTAGACATTTTATTTGTAAACAGAAACACAGAAATTATCTCAATTTCATGAGTGTATTTTGAAAAGATGATGTTTTAGACAGAAATATGTTGTGCTGTGGTTACTAACTCATAAGTGTGGTCTATCAATATCGGGTGGTATTTTAAAAAAATTATAGAAGAATTTCACTTTAGTTCTCTCCGTGTTGGTGTGGGTTTTCACTGGTTGGTCTGGTTTACCCCACAAGTCCAAAGACATACGGTATAGGTGAATTGGGTAAGCTAAATTGTCTGTAGTGTATGGGTGTTTTCCAGTAATGGGTTGCAACATGGGAGGGCATCCTCTGCGTAAAACATATGCTGGAAAAACTGGCGGTTCATTCCGCTGTGGTGACACCCGATTAATAAAGGGACTAAGCCGAAATGAAAATGAATGATTGAATGAATTTCACTTTAAACATAATTTACACATTGTTACTTTGAACCCATCATCTGATATTTGGCAGCTCCATCAAGGGTTCTGCATTGTGTTTTCTTTTTATTGTGGGAATAACCAGACAGGTATCAGCAGTTGTGACGGCTCTTTAATCACTCCTGATGTAAACAAAAGCACAGATTTTACAGTGTGTCTTCGCCCTCATCACTTTTACATGCTTCAATCAGACAAATATAAATCAAAACCTCAATTAAAGTGAAAACACAAAAATAACGAACTATGTGAAATATGTGAAAAAGAAAGTTATACATAATATTGAAACATAAAAACTGGCTTCAAAAGTCAAGTAAATATGATTTAAGATCAATTAGAGCTGCAGACACCCACCTCTCCCATGTGCAGTCAGTACAGAAAAGGAGGAGGCGGGTGCAGAACAGAAAATTAAAAAACTTAAGCTTTCTTAGAAATTTAAAGGAGCAGGTATACTTAATAAACATACCACATAGCCTCACTCTTTTTATTTATTTTCTCG